CTGTGGTCTCTCTCCATGAAAATAATTTGCTGCTTTTCTATTCTATAATGCAAACCAGATGATACATTTTGCTGGTTAGATGCTATTATCTGTGGTGCACTATCCTGAAAGCTGGAAATCAATAACATTAGAGAAAATTAGTTCAGAAAGAAGCAATTAAAAACACACAGCTGCACATGTTATGAAAAGATGCTGTACTGTGTGCAATGTACTTCCATTTATTAAAGCTTTGCCTGCTCTCAGTGACTGATGTCGATCATTAATTGATAATACTCCACAACATCTATTGATTTTCTGTTCTGACAATTATTTATCCTGCTCCTGCTTTAGAGAGTTATCACTAACAGCCATATCGTGCATTAAGACTGTACCAGGGATAATTTGGAGAAGTTTCTGGACTGGGTTCATTTATTGAGTGCCTGAAAATAGGTTGGACAGTTGGGTTTTGATTATACTGTACATATATATTTTTCAAAACAAAACTAACGATGCAGTTCCCCTGATGTTTAAATCCATTTTATGGTAAACATTGAGGTAGACAGGCATACTAATATATGCTTTGATCCATATTAACGTGCTGAGCCTTATTTTGCATTGATCATTTTGCAAGCTTGACGTTTCCTTTAAGACCAATGTTTCTAATGCTCCCCCTGACATGAAAAATAATCATTTACAATTTCCTCAACATATGCTGTTCCACCTTTTTCTGTTTTTCTACACCCGTCTCCCAACACACTTGAACTCTCAACGACCTCATCTTCATTTGAAAATCCTGTCACAGCACAATCCTTCCAACTTCTGGATTGTCTCCAGCTCTAAGCTCTATTTTAATCCTCCACTCTTCCAGTCATTTCACTCCCCATCGCTGCGCTGTCATCAATGTCAGAGACTTCAACCATCTTCAATATACCCTCCACAACTCCCTGTGTCTGACTTCACATTACTCCTCATTTGCAAAGGTCTCCTCATGATCTAGCTCACCAACTATCGTTGTTCCTACTGCTACCCTGACACCCTCTCTGAATTGCTCTTTGTTAAATGTGTTTTTTTTTAGTTTTTTTTCCCAAAATTGAACAGAAATGGCAATGCATTTGGACTATCCTTCCCCCAGAATACAAATTGCGCCTCACTGAGTATAAGATAACAGGGTGTAGAGCTGGATGAACACAGCAGGCCAAGCAGCATCAGAGGAGCAGGAAAGCTGACGTTTCGGGCCT